GTAAATTTCCCAATTTCCCAACAATAATGAATCAACTCTTGTATATAAAAGTGCGAAGATTTCACGTGCTAATCGATTTAAATCAATGATCGGCAAATGTCGCATTTTTCATTAATACGCTCTCGGAACTTCCTTTTTTCATTGTATTGTATGTGTTATATGCTCCCAAGGGCGAAGATATTCATCGAACCACATTGTCCTTTCTTTTTGACTAAATTAAAAAATAAATCATACCTATGTTAATAAATCTGGTGATAAAATCGCGAAAATACTCGACAATTGAAGAAGTCACATGAAATTGAAATTATTTGCATTAGTGGTCTGCTTTTTTTAGTTTAAGAAGTCTGACCGTTGATCTTTGTTAATTTTTGTTAACCCCCACCAGAAGCATCTCTATGGTATTTACCAACCTAACGTATGTCAGGAAAAAAAAAATAATAATAATAATAAATAAATTATAAATGTGGAAAATCAACCTTGATGAACTCTCAAGATCAAAGTCTTATTCTCTCACCAACTTTTCCCACTGAATACCCAATTTCTTATCTGTAGAAATAAAATCTATATTCCATTCAGCATTCTTAATATTTCAATAGACTTTTTCTTCATATTGCAAAGTTTCTCTGTCGTGATGGCATGCATTACGCCCTCTAAACTTCAGCTATACTCCACCTATCCAAATCCTTCACAATTATCCAATTTCCATTCCAGTTCGATCATTAAGAGAAAGTCCCATTTAGGGGGGTTTCAATCAAAAAAATGGAGGAATTCACTATGGGTTGGTGGAGAGAATCAATATATAAGGAAAGGGTCTTGGTGTGTGAAGAATGACAGAAGGAAGAAAGGTTGTGAGGTGGTGAAATGCACGGCGGAGGGGATTGAGAGGTGTCTGTTAGTGGGCGAAGAAGGTGGTGGATTCATGGTGGCGGAGAGGTTTAAGGTGGTGGCGCTAGTGGCGGGGATCATGTGTTTGTGCAATGCAGATAGAGTTGTAATGTCTGTTGCCATTGTTCCACTTGCTGCCAAACATGGATGGAGCAGCTCTTTTTTAGGCATTATCCAGGTAAATTGAAATTTTTTCCTGATCTTTGAAAATCTCTTTTCGAAGAATATATTTTTACTTCATTTGTCGATTTTTATGTTTTTTTGGGGTTTATTTTGAATAGATTAAGGTTGTGGTTTATGGATCCAATGTAATTTGGTGGTTGGTGGCGGTTATTATGTAAATGTATTTGGTGGCATTTGAGATGTGACGAATGGCCTGTAATTTTAGCGTCCGCCTGCAATTGAAAGTAGAATTTATACTAACCCTAACACATGGGTCTAATTTAGAAGTTTTTGACGTGGAGGCCTGGGTATAGTGCCTTGTTTTGAAATAAGGTAAGTGGGCAAGTGGCCATGGTGGCTATCCACGGACAGGGTCGGGAGGGCGTGGGTGGGGTGCGGTGCGGTGGCACGTGCTCATGCAAGTTTAGCCACCATAAATTCTGGTGGTGGTGGTGACTTTCGGAAATTCCTATTTATCCATTGACATAGTTTCTGTTAGAATTAGGATGTGACCTGAATTCTACTTTGAAAATAAATTGGAGTTTTAATTAAAGTCGACTTATGAAAATATCATTTTGGAATGTTACTTTGGAATCCTATTCGAAGCTTATTTGGCAAATCCCAATTGAAGTTTTATTTGGAAGCCTAATTGGGAGTTAGGAATTTGTGTTGAACTTAAGAGGACAAAGAAGCTTTTGGGGAGCAAAAGAGTGAAGAAGCAAATTACATGGTTTTTTGTGTTTTTTGATCTTTATCTCATATTGGGCCTATAATCTCGTATTTTTTTCAACAAGTTGGTTTCGGAATTATCCTGTATCGTCTCCGTTTCACATCAGTTTCTCATTAGGCAAAGGGGAGCTTTGTTAAAGAGGGTGATGGGATACATAAATGGTCCTTGAGGTTAAGTGCTACAGGTTGAATAGTTAAAAATCGAGTTACTCAAACATTTGTGTTCAATACTCTAACTGCCTTCTCGTCACTTTATTTTGACATCTTAGTGACTAGGATTCCTAGGAGGTGATGGACTTCATTTTGAAATTTACCAAATGTGCAATCAATTTTACTTGACAAACTTTTCCTCTATTGTGAATTTTGCACGAAGAAAACAGACAAAACAATATTGGTAGTAGATGAAATCCATGCTATACTTCTTTTTCTTTTCTATCTCAGTTGGACCAATTAAGTATTTTTCTGATGACGCGGTGCTATTGCTTCATGCATAGTCATCCTTTCTGTGGGGATATATATTTTCCTCAGTTGTTGGTGGAGCCTTGGTGGACAAATATGGAGGAAAACGAGTTATTGCGTGGGGTGCAGCTCTCTGGTCTCTGGCCACTCTCCTTACTCCATGGGCTGCGAATCATTCCACAGGCAGCCTATTGGCTGTCCGTGCTTTTTTTGGACTAGCTGAAGGGGTTGCTCTACCTTCCATGAACACCCTTTTATCAAGGTAATGTTTCTTAACTGTTAACTTTACTCGTACTGAATTTCTGGTCATTCCATCGGTTTAAGAAGAAGAAGAGCTTTTTCTCTTTGATTTCCCATTATCCAACTCCATGGATCATTTGGAACTCCCATAAAGATAATTATATAAGAAACCTTTTGGTTAACTGAGATAGATAGAAGGGTGAATTTGTGCTCAACGTTGAAAATGTATTAACAGTATGTCTACCTTATATTAGGTGGTTTCCAAGCCATGAAAGAGCTACTGCTGTTGGAATAGCTATGGGCGGATTCCATCTTGGAAATGTTGTGGGATTAATCTTAACTCCTCTGTTAATGTCATCAATTGGAATTTCTGGTCCTTTCGTTCTCTTATCGTCTCTTGGATTTCTCTGGTTAACAACATGGTCATATCGAGTGACTAATGACCCACTAGAGAGCAATTCTATAAGCAAATCCGAGTTGCACTTAATTCAAGCTGGGAAATCTGACTCTCAAGTCATCAAGGGAAAGCTTCCACCTTTATGCCTTCTCTTATCAAAATTGCCGACATGGGCAATTATCTTTGCTAATATCACTAACAACTGGGTTAGGTTTCTGTACTCACTTTTGATTTTCCAATTCTGAAAATCAAGTAAGTTTTAGTTCTTATTCTACTGATCACTGCTTTCTGATTGAACTGTGACTTTTAAGTGTTTTCTTAAATGCAGGGATACTTTGTTCTTCTATCATGGATGCCTGTTTATTTTAAAACTGTGAGTAGATTTTTCCCTTTTTCTCATTCCCATCATTGTGGTTAGAATTTTTCCATATAGTGACTAATGAAAAGCAAGAAAAAGAAACTTGCATGTTGAGAAAATTCAAGAAAATAAAAGTTTTAAAACATTTTTACTACTAATTAAATTCTTCGCTGTTGTTGTGTCAGGTATTTGATGTAAATTTGAAGCAAGCAGCTTGGTTTAGTGCACTTCCATGGGGAACAATGGCTATCGCAGGCTACATTGCAGGGGCAACATCTGATTACTTGATCAAATCAGGGTACTCCATAACGTCAGCAAGGAAAATTATGCAGGTAACTTCTGTTTTGGGATCTCATTACACTTGGTTGATGAATAAGAATTCGTAAGTCTCGAGAATCATGGCATTCTAGTAAAACGAAACTCTCTTTCCTTCGAGACTGGTATCACATTACTCGGCTAAGTTGTTACCATAATATAATGGAACAAAGAAATATGTTACGAAACATCATCAAGAATATAATGCTCAATCACGGAAGACAGCAAGATTCATTACAAGTTCAAAATGTACGATCACATCTCAGAAAGCAAAAAATAAAAATCTTGGATTCGAATCTTTTTCTGCAGTAACCCAAAAGAAGAGTAGATAAAGGAAATGATGGGCTGGATTTTTTTTTTTCTGATGTAGAAATCATAATGGCTGTAATAAATACAAATGCGTACTAACAAATATATGTAACTCACCACCATTAGTCAATACAATCAGCATTCTAACATCTGCTTCATGATATGACAGTCAATAGGTTTCATTGGCCCGGGGGTGGGACTGCTCTGTTTGAATTATGCTAGAACACCCGTACTTGCATCTATATTGATTACAGTTGCCCTCAGTTTGAGCTCTTTCAGCCAAGCTGGTTTTTTACTGAATATGCAAGTAAGTTTTTATGTCTAATAATATTTCCTTCTTCGGCAACCAGTAGCAGAATGTGTGCCCATATTAATTTGTGTGTTGATTATTTGATCAGGATATTGCACCACAGTATGCAGGAATTCTTCATGGTACGTTCTGAAATCCACTTGAGGGACGTCGTCTTGATTTTCTGTAATTCTCTAATGACGTTTTTTTTCCATCCGAAAACAGGGATTTCAAATTCTGCTGGGACATTGGCAGCAATAATCAGCACGAT